GGTTAATTAAATTGCGCTTGTTATAATAAGGTCGGGTAAGTTTTCTAAGGTTTTTTTATTAATTTTTACATTAACATAAATTAAAAATATATATTTTTAAACGTATAAAAGAAAATTTTAGAAAGGATTTAATTTTAAACGAGTTCTTGCTAACTGACCAGTTTTACTGATTCGGCACGACATATATAAATAAATGTAAAACTGTATACAAAAAGCGAGTATTGTGTAAAGAGTGTGACGCTGTACGTAGACTGTGAGAGGTGTCAGACTTACTGTGCTCTGGTGTTCCAGCATCATCACTCAACAAAGTTTTCCAGTGGGCAACGGTAAACAATATGATGTTCAATGAGGACAAATTCCAACTACTCCGTTATGGAAAACTGGAGGAGATAATAACTAGAACAGAGTATACTACTGACTCCGGCCATACAATAGAGCGGAAAAATAATGTAAGGGACCTGGGAGTAGTAATGTCTGAGGATCTCACTTTCAAGGATCATAACAGTGCCACGATCGCACGTGCAAAGAAAATGATAGGATGGATAATGAGAACTTTCAAAACGAGAGATGCCAAGCCCATGATGATCCTTTTCAAATCACTTGTTCTCTCTAGGCTGGAATACTGCTGTACATTAACATCTCCATTCAAAGCAGGTGAAATCGCAGATCTAGAGAGTGTACAGAGATCCTTTACTGCACATATAAGTTTCTGTCAAGCACCTTAACTACTGGGAACGCTTGGAATCACTTGACTTGTACTCGTTGGAACGCAGGAGGGAGAGATATATCATAATCTACACTTGGAAAATCTTGGAAGGAATGGTCCCAAATCTGCACACAGAAATCACTCCCTACGAAAGTAAAAGACTGGGCAGGCGATGCAAAATGCCGCCAATAAAAAGTAGGGGCGCCATTGGTACACTAAGAGAAAACACCATAAGTGTCCGGGGCCCAAAACTGTTCAACAGCCTCCCATCAAGCATTAGGGGAATTGCCAATAAACCCCTGGCTGCCTTCAAGAGAGAGCTGGACAGATACCTAAAGTCGGTGCCGGATCAGCCGGGCTGTGGCTCGTACGTTGGACTGCGTGCGGCCAGCAGTAACAGCCTAGTTGATCAGGCCCTGATCCATCGGGAGGCCTGGTCGTGGACCGGGCCGCGGGGGCGTTGATCCCCGGAATAACCTCCAGGTAACCTCCAGGTAACTTGTGCAAGTCTGCAGTCTGCTTATAGTAATAGACTGGTTGATCACTCTGGAAGGCTCACGCTGGGTTGGTTGAAGTAAGTTCAAACATGACTTCTAGTCTGCTTAAATTATGATAATATGGAATAATAATAATGTTTATATCTACCAGTACATGATACAACTTATACAGACCATAGCTCACACCAGTAACTTACTACCATATACAAAGTCCCTTGTTATGCTGACCGTTTCCCACAGATTAGGTTTTGTCGACTAAAGGTACCCATTTCACTGCTAGGTGAACATGGACAGCAGGTATGTTAAGAAAACATATCCTAATGTTGCCACCCGTATCCGGGATCGACCCCCGGACCTCAGTGTGTGAGTTGAGCGCGCTAGCAGTCAAGCTACCTGGAGGTTACCTGGAGGTTATTCCGGGGATCAACGCCCCCGCTGCCCGGTCCATGACCAGGCCTCCCGATGGATCAGGGCCTGATCAACTAGGCTGTTACTGCTGGCCGCACGCAGTCCAACGTACGAGCCACAGCCCGGCTGATCCGGCACTGACTTTAGGTATCTGTCCAGCTCTCTCTTGAAGGCAGCCAGGGGTTTATTGGCAATTCCCCTAATGCTTGATGGGAGGCTGTTGAACAGTTTTGGGCCCCGGACACTTATGGGACACCTTACGGGACATCTAGATCCTTATGTGTCATTGGTTTGTAAATATTGAAGAAATAAGCATAAAGTGGACTGGAACCATTTAGGGAGGTACTACCCTCCTGTCATGAGCGTGTGAAACTGAAGCCTGTTAAACGTTATGTACTCTGGCAGGACCGCCGATCTTGCTGTTTCATGTACACGTAAGGTGACAGGTAAATCTTGCAGGCGTCTACTTGCTTTCAGTATTCACATCACTTAACTATGTGTTCTTAATAGTTCTTAATCTTGTAGTATTTCTGGTCTGAGACCTGGCCCTGGGGAAGACCATCTCCAAGACCACTAATAGATAACGTGTGTCCTCTTGTTGAGCTCGTGCTAAGAACTAGTGATAAACTCTGTATGGCAGGGGTGAGCTGCCTTATTTGGGTAGACCTTCGTTATAGGGTAGAGTTTTATTAAGCTCTGTGGTAGAGCTTTAAGCTCTGTGGTAGAGTTTTATTAAGCTCTGTGGTAGAGCTTTATTAAGCTCTGTGGTAGAGCTTTATTAAGCGCTGTGGTAGAGTTTTATTAAGCTCTGTGGTAGAGCTTTAAGCTCTGTGGTAGAGCTTTATTAAGCTCTGTAGTAGAGCTTTATTAAGCTCTGTAGTAGAGCTTTATTAAGCTCTGTAGTAGAGCTTTATTAAGCTCTGTAGTAGAGCTTTATTAAGCTCTGTAGTAGAGCTTTATTAAGCTCTGTAGTAGAGCTTTATTAAGCTCTGTAGTAGAGCTTTATTAAGCTCTGTAGTAGAGCTTTATTAAGCTCTGTAGTAGAGCTTTATTAAGCTCTGTAGTAGAGCTTTATTAAGCTCTGTAGTAGAGCTTTATTAAGCTCTGTAGTAGAGCTTTATTAAGCTCTGTAGTAGAGCTTTATTAAGCTCTGTAGTAGAGCTTTATTAAGCTCTGTAGTAGAGCTTTATTAAGCTCTGTAGTAGAGCTTTATTAAGCTCTGTAGTAGAGCTTTATTAAGCTCTGTAGTAGAGCTTTATTAAGCTCTGTAGTAGAGCTTTATTAAGCTCTGTAGTAGAGCTTTATTAAGCTCTGTAGTAGAGCTTTATTAAGCTCTGTGGTAGAAAGTTGCTTGGTGCATAGCAAACCTTCGTTATAGGGTAGAGTTTTATTAAGCTTGGTACGTTATAGGGTAGAGTTTTATTAAGCTTGGTACGTTATAGGGTAGAGTTTTATTAAGCTTGGTACGTTATAGGGTAGAGTTTTATTAAGCTTGGTACGTTATAGGGTAGAGTTTTATTAAGCTTGGTACGTTATAGGGTAGAGTTTTATTAAGCTTGGTATGTGGTGGTTGTGGCTGGTGTTCCGTGCTATCAGCCAGCGAGAACATTAACATACATCAGGAGATATAACCAGGTGAGGAGAACTCTGGAAACCAGCCAGAGGTATGTCGCAGGTCACAGTTTTTAGCAGAAGCCATTTTGTTTGTATGATGTAGCGGCGGCGGCAGCGGCGGCAGCGGCGGCGGGTAAGGTGGAATAATTGTGAAGGTTTTGCTTCAGTGGTCAGGGCAGCCAGGACCAGGGTAGGTGATAATGTGGCAAGCCACGGGTGGCAACAAGGGTGATACCTCCGTGTTGTAGGGTGGCTAAAACCGCCTTCTACACACTGGAGAGCTGGCCAGGTGTCACCCCTACACCAACTGGTTTCTGTCCCCCATCTTCCCAGGCCACTCAACTCGTCTCTATCCCCCCCCCTTCCCTCCATCCTCCACCCCTCCCTCTTCGTTACTTCTCACCGCCTCCTTCCTAGACCCTCACAACACTCCTAACCTTACCCAGTATCTTTTCTAATACCTTTCAACCTCCGTTCCTATAACTACCTCACTGCTAACCCCTCCGTACCACATTCCTAAACCTCCAGTTCTTTCTTCCTAACACCTGTCAACCTTTCTAACCACTCCTAGTCTATTAATCACTCTTCCCCAGGTATCCGCTCCTAACCACTCTTCTAATGCCTTCCTCTTTGTCGTCCACGCTTTCATTATCACCTTAACTAACAGTCCCTTCCTCCTCACCCACCTTCCTAACATAACAACGTTCAGAACTCAAGGACTCACCACTAGTGGTAATAGTCAAGCCGCTTCTGTACTCGTGTTTGTAATATTGTTGTGTACTCACAGCATATTGCAAGGCAGGAGAGAGAACAGAGATACAAACTGTACACAGGTCCTACACTGCCCTCATATAATCAACAAAACAAACTACAGTACAGTACATGTGAGCACCTGGTTCCAAATCAACACCTTCCATAACAACGTACTAAGGTGAGAAATATGGAAGTGTAAAATAAATCGAGTAATAAGTAGGAACACCATGAGCGCACTCAGAGTGCACTGTTAACATCAGTGAGCCAACACTATTCAACCTGTCACCAGCAGATATCAGAAATATTGATGGAAAGAGTACAGAAGTATAAGGTAAAACTTGGAGACCTGCCTAGAAGTATCTTATCAAGCAGGTTGTAGTGGGTGTGTAAGTCTGCGAGTCGCTGGCACCAACAAACTGAACTGAATAATGTAACCTGGCCTACTGGTCATAGGTATGTAACAGGTATGTCGTAGTGGGCTGCCATGAGTGATTCTAGGTTGCTTCAGGTGAACGAAGTATCACACAATTCTCTGCCAGTCTTACTTTGATAAATAAGACAGTTACGTATCCTTATTCCGAAACGTTTGGCCTACACAGTAGGCTTCTTCAGTCGAATACAGAAGAACAAATAGAAGCAGTAGAGATTGGAAAACGATATAATCAGTCCCTGACCACCTCAAAGCTACGTCTTCTAGGAATATAGATACCTAACTTACCAGCCTGTCGGTATTGGATACCATTTTCATATTCAGTCTTACTTTGTTTATATTTAATACCATGTAACTTCTAGATTGTATTTCTCATTTCTTGTGTTGCCATAACACAACTACACTGATATTTTGTTGTACACGAGTCGTATTCATTTAGATAATTTGGAGGTAACTTGTCCTGTATTTGATTTTGTATAAGATATAAAATATTTTATCTCAAGGTAAACACATTACGCGACAGAAAGCGTGCAAATTACAAGTGCAGTGTTACCCTTCACTAACATGATGTTTCTCCTGTTTCCTGTGGCAGGAGTCCGTGGATTATGATTGGGCAAGCGGACCCCGTGTCCACCCACCCATGGAGCCCAAATGACATGGTGAGTAGTTAATGTATATACTAGTAGGTTGTTAGTGGTAGTTGAATGGTCATGGAACACACCCTGACTGAACATGGCCTGACAGTGTTTTGGTGGCAGTATGACAGTATGAACAAGCGTGAACTTCAAGGTGGTTCGTCCAGGCTGTTCTGATGAACTGCTGCTGACGTACACTACCTCCCCTCATTCTCATATCCGACGTAAACAATGGCATAAGTTGTATGTAAATTGTAGACAATACCGACAAGATTAAAAATTAGACAAATGCAACATCTGCATATGTTTCTTTGTAGACGCTACGCCAACCAGTGGCTTTATCAGCCTTGAAGTTGGCGAAGAGCACCGTAGTGCTGGCGAACCATCTTCTTGATTAAGATTCCCAAATTTTGCACGAGTTCCTCGCTCTTCAGCGTCGGTGTTCTAAACCATTTTTATCTCACTTGGTGCGATGTGCGCTCGATACCACCACCTTGGTTGTACCACCACCTTGGTTGTACCACCACCTTGGTTGTACCACCAACATTTTGGTTGATCAGGTCGTCAACCAGTAAGCCTGGTAGAGTACTGTGCTGTGAGGATAGTGACCCCTGGAATAGTCTTCAGGTGTGTGTGTGTGTGTGTGTGTGTGTGTGTCGACCAGGAGAACCCATTTAAAGTTTGCAAACTCAATACCACAAACTTGCCTACTTTATTTGTGCAGTGTTGGGGGGGGGGGAGCTGAGCAGTAGTGGGGAGAGTATCTTGGTTCCAGACCAGGCCTCCTGGTTGATGGCCTGATCAGTCAGGCTGTTGGTGCTAGTCACACGCAGTTCAACATATGCACTACAGTCCTGCTGCTCAGGACACAACTTTAGGAACTTATAATTTCCATCATGAAGACAGTTTAGGTTGTCTTGGTAATTTCCCTTATGCATGAAGGGTGTTGAAAAGTCTTGGTCCCTTTACACTTCTTGATATGCAAAAAACCACTGTGAAAGAGTAGTGAAATTCCAAGCGCTTTCGTGACTACTCACATTGTCATTGACAATTTGAGTAGTCACGAAAGCGCTTGGAATTTCACTACTCTTTCACAGTGGTTGTTTTGCATATTTTAAAATCACCTGTTTACTGTGATCTTATTGCATTTCTTGATATATTCAGTACACTACCCTTTTCTCACCTCCGTTCTTAGACGTAAAGTTTGGGGGACTTCAAGTATTCCAGATAATTTAAGTGCTTGACGGAATTTATACCGGCAGTGAAAGTTCTCAGAAAGTTCTGTAGATTTTCAGTTTTGTTTGCCTTGGAGAGGGCGTTAGTATAGAGCGTTAGTGTAGAGCGTTAGTGTAGAGCGTTAGTGTAGAGCAGTACTTCAGCTTAGAGACGACAAGTGACCTGAAGAATATCATCATTGGCCTGGCATATTTTGTTGTGATTCTTGTTGTTATCCAGCTTAAAGATAACAGCGGTTGTGATGCTGCGAAGTAACATCTTCTGACATTATCACTCCTTAAGTTCATTATGCTGTATTTTGCTCTGTTGTCTTTTATTCCGTTCTAGTGTGTATATCAACTTTTCATCTGAGTGTAAGAGGAGCAGCATCCCTCGCCCCATCGTCACAACTTTTCATCTGAGTGTAAGAGGAGCAGCATCCCTCGCCCCATCGTCACAACTTTTCATCTGAGTGTAAGAGGAGCAGCATCCCTCGCCCCATCGTCACAACTTTTCATCTGAGTGTAAGAGGAGCAGCATCCCTCGCCCCATCGTCACAACTTTTCATCTGAGTGTAAGAGGAGCAGCATCCCTCGCCCCATCGTCACAGTGTAGTCACTCTACTTCTCAGGCTGATATTAACAGTTTTCCAGTGGGACACACACAACAACATACCTTACCTTTGAAGAGTTTCGAGAGTTTCTCTACTGAGCCCGGCCATAGGCCAGGCTCGCCTTGTGCTTGCCTGGTCAACCAGGCTCTTGCTGCTGGAGGCCCGCTGTCCCACACATCCAACACAGCCTGGTTGATCTAGCACCTGGTGAAGATACTTGTCCAGTTTCCTCTGGAAGGCTTCTACATAACAGGAAACTGGACAAATAACATGATCTTCAATAAGGAAAATTTTCAGCTACTCCTTTGATATACCTTTGATGAACTTCGAGAGTTTTTTTCTACTCTAGGAGCCTAGCTATGGCTACTGGCTGGCGTAACGTTTCCTCAAAGATTCCAAAATGATTCTAGCGGTAACAGCTTGCTTGGTCAGGCCCTGATCCACCGCGAGGACTGGTCATAGACGGGGCCGCGGGGGCGTTGACCCCCGGAATACCCTCCAGGTAGACTCAAGGTATATCATCTACATCTGCATTCTGGTTTTCTTCTAGTGTCGTTGTAATTCTGTCAATAATTTGGTAGCTGTGACAAGTATGATCTTAGTGTTGTAAATTCTGGGTGGTTTGTGTCGTGCAGGTTATCTTCTGGGTGGTTTGTGTCGTGCAGGTTATCTTCTGGGTGGTTTGTGTCGTGCAGGTTATCTTCTGGGTGGTTTGTGTCGTGCAGGTTATCTTCTGGGTGGTTTGTGTCGTGCAGGTTATCTTCTGGGTGGTTTGTGTCGTGCAGGTTATCTTCTGGGTGGTTTGTGTCGTGCAGGTTATCTTCTGGGTGGTTTGTGTCGTGCAGGTTATCTTCTGGGTGGTTTGTGTCGTGCAGGTTATCTTCTGGGTGGTTTGTGTCGTGCAGGTTATCTTCTGGGTGGTTTGTGTCGTGCAGGTTATCTTCTGGGTGGTTTGTGTCGTGCAGGTTATCTTCTGGGTGGTTTGTGTCGTGCAGGTTATCTTCTGGGTGGTTTGTGTCGTGCAGGTTATCTTCTGGGTGGTTTGTGTCGTGCAGGTTATCTTCTCCTCCACCTTCTTTCTATCTTACCAGGTGGTTTGTGTCGTGCAGGTTATCTTCTCCTCCACCTTCTTTCTATCTTATCAGCCTGTCTCAGACTGTAAACATGTCTGTTTGTGACTGTATTACCTGTGACTGTATTCTCTGTGACTGTGTTACCTGTGACTGTGTTACCTGTGACTGTATTATCTGTGACTGTGTTACCTGTGACTGTATTCTCTGTGACTGTATTCTCTGTGACTGTGTTACCTGTGACTGTGTTACCTGTGACTGTATTATCTGTGACTGTGTTACCTGTGACTGTATTCTCTGTGACTGTATTCTCTGTGACTGTATTCTGTGACTGTATTCTCTGTGACTGTATTCTCTGTGACTGTATTCTCTGTGACTGTATTCTGTGACTGTATTACCTGTGACTGTATTACCTGTCACTGTATTCTCTGTGACTGTATTCTGTGACTGTATTCTCTGTGACTGTATTACCTGTCACTGTATTCTCTGTGACTGTATTCTCTGTGACTGTATTCTCTGTGACTGTATTACCTGTGACTGTATTCTCTGTGACTGTATTCTCTGTGACTGTATTACCTGTGACTGTATTCTCTGTGACTGTATTCTCTGTGACTGTATTCTGTGACTGTATTCTCTGTGACTGTATTACCTGTGACTGTATTCTCTGTGACTGTATTCTCTGTGACTGTATTACCTGTGACTGTATTCTCTGTGACTGTATTCTCTGTGACTGTATTCTGTGACTGTATTCTCTGTGACTGTATTCTGTGACTGTATTCTCTGTGACTGTATTACCTGTGACTGTATTCTCTGTGACTGTATTCTCTGTGACTGTGTTACCTGTGACTGTATTACCTGTGACTGTATTCTCTGTGACTGTATTCTCTGTGACTGTATTCTCTGTGACTGTATTCTCTGTGACTGTATTCTCTGTGACTGTATTCTGTGACTGTATTACCTGTGACTGTATTACCTGTGACTATTCTCTGTGTATTACCTGTGACTGTATTCTCTGTGGCTGTATTACCTGTGACTGTATTCTCTGTGACTGTATTCTCTGTGACTGTATTCTCTGTGACTGTATTATCTGTGACTGTATTACCTGTGACTGTATTACCTGTGACTGTATTCTCTGTGGCTGTATTACCTGTGACTGTATTACCTGTGACTGTATTACCTGTGACTGTATTACCTATGGCTGTATTACCTGTGACTGTATTACGTGTGACTGTATTACCTGTGGCTGTATTACCTGTGACTATTACCTGTGGCTGTATTACCTGTGACTGTATTACCTGTGGCTGTATTACCTGTGACTGTATTACCTGTGACTGTGTTACCTGTGGCTGTATTGCCTGTGACTGTATTACCTGTGACTGTATTACCAGTTACTGTATTACCTGTGACTGTATTACCAGTGACTGTATTACCTGTGACTATTACCTGTGACTGTATTACCTGTGGCTGTATTACCTGTGACTGTATTACCTGTGACTGTATTACCTGTGATTGTATTACCTGTGGCTGTATTACCTGTGACTGTATTACCAGTGACTGTATTACCTGTGACTGTATTACCTGTGACTGTATTACCTGTGACTGTATTACCTGTGGCTGTATTTCCTGTGACTGTATTACCTGTGGCTGTATTACCTGTGACTGTATTACCTGTGACTGTATTACCTGTGGCTGTATTACCTGTGGCTGTATTACCTGTGGCTGTATTACCTGTGACTGTATTACCTGTGACTGTATTACCTGTGACTGTATTACCTGTGACTATTACCTGTGACTTTATTACCTGTGACTGTATTACCTGTGACTGTATTACCTGTGACTGTATTACCTGTGGCTGTATTACCTGTGACTATTACCTGTGACTGTATTACCTGTGACTGTATTACCTGTGGCTGTATTACCTGTGACTGTATTACCTGTGACTATTACCTGTGTACTGTAGTTACCTGTGGCTGGTATTACCTGTGGCTGTATTACCTGTGACTGTATTACCTGTGACTGCATTACCTGTGACTGTATTACCTGTGACTGTATTACCTGTGGACTGTATTACCTGTGGCTGTATTACCTGTGACTGTATTACCTGTGACTATTACCTGTGACTGTAT